TGGTGCTGTATCTCGGAATATTCTAGGTTACTTACTGTAAGTCACTTGAGCGTGATTTCCAATTCACATGGTCATGTTCTTGTGCAGTTCACAGTGCTTAGCTGCTTAGCCATCATGAAAAAACTATCCACAGGGTCAGGCCTCGTCAAAGTCATTCTGCTCCAAAAAGAGAGCCACCTGGAATGGTTGCTTCGTGCGCTTGGCGTTGGTGATGAATTTCGGCCAAATCGAGGGTCCCAAACATCCAAGAAGATCCTCTGATGTCCATCGCCAATCCTACTAGCTTCTTGTTACTACTAGTAAGGCACTTGTTACTACTAGCGTGGCACTTGTTTCTAATAGCTTCTTGTTACTACTAGTAAGGCACTTGTTACTAGAAGCGATGCACTTGTTCCTACTAGCTTCTTGTTACTTGTTGCTCCATTCTAAACTGCCCCAGAATCAGCTATTCCAGGATGATACAACGCTGACTCTGCCAAAAATTGATGCTCTGATCTTCCGCTGAAGTGTGGCTATATGGTCATTTCTGAGAGTTGCTCTCTGCATATCGGAGGCTTGGCTTGGAGACAAGGATGTGAGGGTATTAGATTGGCATAGAAGATCGTTCAAACAATCCAGGGTATCACTGAGCGCATGCCGATATTCCTAGTTCCGCGTCAAGGTGAAATCTCCCTTGGCATCATAGGCGCGTTGCCCAAAATCTGAGGGCTGCATTTCTAGTAAGCAACAATCGAACAGAACATCTATGGAATCTATACTATAAACGCGACTGTCGAGCAGATTCTTACAATATCACGGTGACCTAGATTAGGACCTTTTGGGAGGTGCAGGTTCCGTCCGCCAATTCTTACGTCTGCAATCACAGACAGGTCTGTAGCCCCAGCCAGACCTGCAAGTCCGTGAGGGCCAAGTCCAAAGTATACAGACGAAAGAAGTGCAAAATGTGAATCACATGCCTAGAGGTCATGATGTCATAGGTGTTCAAACAAAGGGTGTCATAGCATTCAACGGTCAAAGAATTGGTCTTCCCTCACTGGGCCTGTGCTTTCGACTGCTCCAGTCTCTGACGATGTCGTTCCACAATTCCTGGGATGTTTTGCAGGAAACATGTGCGGCTCGGATCATGGTTCGCGATAAATATTCTTGATCATATATAGAAAGATACTGATGAACTGTCAGTCCCCTCACAATCTAAATTCTCAACACTTTTGCGCTTCACTACAAAAAAGCTGCAGACTGCGCCGCCGCCGCCACCGCCGGCCATCCGATTTGCTCTACCGGCGCTCAGGTCGAGCAGCGATCCCGCTCGGCCGCGCGACCACCATGTTCGGCGCCGCTGCGCGAGGGGTGGGAGGGCTTTCTGGTGAGTGTGGACCTCGGCGGGAGGGGTATCGTCAAGGCAGAATGGGCTGAGCTGGATCTTTGTTTGCAACCTGTGGAAGGCCTGAATGCTTAACGTGGACCAGCATCATTCTGCACAAAAGGAGTCACTTCGATTCGAATGACTCGCGTCGAAGCCCTTCAGGGCCGCAGATGAGCAGCCCCGTCACAGAAGTCGTCACGAACTCCTGGAGTTTGTTCGTTGGCGGTCAAACTCGTTCACGACGAACACAGAAAGAAGTCGTCCCTCGGGTCCGAGGAAAAGCTGTAGTGGAAATGCTTCAAAGGAAAGTATCCAAGTAGAAGGAGAGTACAAAGGAGAGAGCGATCATGAACCGACCTCAAGCCATTGTTCAATGTAAGAAGCTACTCAGCTACTCTTTCTTCCCTCCTGGTCCAGGCTCAGGCTGGCTGTCACCGAACTGCCAGTCACCCAAGTGTCCTGGCAAAACATGTCTCATCATGTGCCACAGGATCATCATGCTGCCCCTCAATGCTTTGACAAATTCCACTCTGAGATCGTTGAACGCACAAGGAACATGGAGGACACTTGAAGTTTGGCAATCTCAAAGGAAGCTCAACAAAATGCAGACTGTCGATGTTCATGTTGGTCATGGTTCCAGACCACCGCTACATCCCAGCTCAGTCGGAATGTGACTCTTGAAAAGGTATCAAATCCGGCCACCTTCTCCACCAATGTAACAGCGGACTTTCCCCATGACGCCGCCCAGTTTCACCATCCCAACATACATCAGTTCGTCAGCAGTTCGTCATACTGGCCCAATCCAGTGACCCCCGTGTCCACACAGCGAGAAAACGTGGCGCCTCTGGCATCAGGAACGGGCAGAAGGTAGTCGAGATCAAAGATCCAGGAAAAGCCAGATCCTGAGGACCCTGAGCCTTCAATGCCACAGGCACGTGTTTGCGTCGTACAGCTGCTGGCCGGGCCGGGTCAATGGGATCAGCTTGGTGCAACAAAGGACCCACAATGACCAATCCCAGACTGGTCACTTCTGACCCTTCGGAAACTATGTTGGAAAAGGTATGAAAAATTTGCTTTACTGGTACGGACCTTCAGGTGCTGGGACATTGCTCACGCTCAACTTTGTGAACCCGTCTCCATCTGCTTCTCAACGAATGTCAGCGACTCAACGACATTGAAATGGACTGTTTCCTTTTTTGGGGGGTAGGCCGCGAGTGGAGGTAGGTAGGTAGGTAGGTAAGTAGGTAGGTAGGTAGGTAGCTAGATGCAGCTAGTAGAGGACTCAGGACAGCTCGCGCCTCTTCAAGGAAACTCCCCCCGCAAGCTTCCTTGAAGAAGTTCTCGCACTGATGATTTGGATCCTAAATTCTTAGGGAAACTTACTTGCTGTGCAATTACGGAATCTCAACCACCTTGAGAGGGCCTAATATTGGGGGACACAACCTGTGCAACCTATATATATATAAATAGATTCTACATTCCCACTTAAAAGGAGGTTTTCCATAGACACCTTATATTTTCTTCTTTCAGACCTGGCGAGCCAAGTCTGATCTTTTCAGAAGGGGTGTTCATGGGGGTGGAGTGGTGAAGTTTGTAGAAACGCGCGCTTTTGTGAGGGTAGTGATATGCAAGCACTGGCAAATGTAAAGCAACTCATCAAAAACAATTTACAAACCAAAAAATCAAAAAGTTCAGACCTATGTCCCCAGTCCAGCCTCTCCTCAGACCCTCTCCATGGGTCTGAACTTTTTGGTTTTCTTGGTTTTAGGTTTTGGCTGCTCAAAAACAATTGACAAACCAAAAAAATGCTCAGACATATGTTCCCTGTCCAGCCTCTCCTCTGCCATGGGTCTAAATGTTTGTGGATTTTTTGTGTTTTTTGTTTGCTTTGAAATCTCAAGGTTTTGGTGTGATCCTGGAATAGTCTTGATTGATAGTATTTAGTTCGCATTCAATTGTAATTGTAATTGAATTCGAATTCAAACCGGGTTCTAAGTTAAACAAGCCTAGTTCAATTCTAATTCAATGAGAATTTGATTTACTGTCTTAATTGAAATAAAATCAAACTCTCATTTACTTCTACCTGACTTTAAATTTAAGTCTAATTCAACTCCAATTTAAGTGCTGTACAATTTTAACGTATTTCTTTTTCAAACAAATGTTGAACTGCATTCATAAAATTGTAAGCTTCAATTTAGATCTAGTTTAATTCTATTGAACTCTAATTTAATTATTGTTTAACTTGAATTTTCTAATTTGAGTTTGAGTCTGATTAAAATCTAGTGCACTTCTACTTTGAGCCTGTAGTTTACCTCTACTCTCATTCTAATTTGAATCTGATTAGATTCTAATGTAATTCTAGTTTGAGTCCGTAGTTTAGTTTTAATTCAAATCTAACTAATTTAGTTCTACTGTAAATGTGATGTTACTTTATTCGTCGTTGAATTCTAATTCTAATTGAATATTATTTGAATTCTAATCGAGCTGTAGGTTAAACAATGCTAATTCAATTCTACTTTAACCCTAATTCAAGTCTAGTATAAATAATGAAATGTGATTCAATATTGATTTAATTCAAGTTCAGTTCAAATTCCAATACAATGTACTTTCAATGTATCTCAAATTTTGTTCTAATTCAAGCTTACTATAATCCGAATATAGTCTTGTCTTGTTTTATCTCAATTTATTTGTAATTAGTCTTTAGTTTAATGCACATTTAAACATATATACACTTAAAATTTAATTGCTTTGCAATTCTAAATGAATCTATTGCGATTTCCCATTTAGTTTTGATTAATTCTAATTTAAGTTTAATCTAATCGGTTAAAACTCAATGCTAAGGCAAATTTACTTCTATATAATTCAATGCAAGTAAAGTCTAATGCAATTCTGATTTTATTCAAGAGAGCGGGTGTTGCTGGGGGTGTGATTTGAGAAAGCAAATTGTAAGCAAGCAAAACAACGATAATATATGTATATAAGATTTAAGTGTTTAAAAGCAACACGCACTCCCTAGAAGTAAACTTGAATTGCATAAAAGCTAAAATTAGATTCAAAAAAAGAATAGAACTATATTTGATCTAAATCTGAATTGCATTGGACATTAGAACTGAATTTGAATTAGGTCATTTAGAATGTGCAAGTCTTTGTCTTCTGACTCGGATGTACTTACAGTACTAAACTGCATTCAACAAGATCAACACAACTCACAAAATGACTCTAAAAGCAAGAACCATGGTTTTGCAGGTTTTGCATGGGGGCTGCATGGAAATAGATTACATCCAATATATTTTTTTGTAAACACCTGACTCATATGTTTTCGTACATAGTTGAATGAAAATATGCTTACCAGCTGCAAAAAAAAAGCAAGACCTTGCAAAATCACAACGTTCACAATCCCATCAATGTCATGTCATCAGCAAATGGAGCAAAACCTTGCAAAATCACAACTGTCATAATCCCATCAATGTCATATGATCTGCAAAAAATGCAAATCTTGCAAAATCACAACTTTCACAACCCCACCCCCCATGACTACCCGCTCTCTATCTTCTTAATCCAAGAACTGTGAGCCACTTGGTTGCTTTTCCCTCGTTCTTTGCCCTCACCTCTTCATCACCTCATCCCATCTCTGAGCCTCGCTTCTCAGCGGCCGAGCTTGTCCTTCACCTGGGGAGCCAGGGGTAGGTCCGGGTAGGTCCGTGGTGGTCCACTGGCGTTCCGTTCTTGGTCCGTCAATTCAGCTAGGGGGTTGAGCTGTGGAAAAATGTTGGAAGAAGCTGGATGAACAAAACTGTCTCCTTTAAAGAAGGATGTGCAGGCTTGGGTGAGGTGGGTATTTTCATGTCCACACCCAATTGTTCCCTTTTCGATATGCAAAATTTGGGACAGACATCCCTCATCCAAACGGTTTGAGGGTGACATCTTTGTCTCGCGTCCCATGTGTGAAATGTATTGAAATGTCAGAGTTTGACCAGGCCTCGTTCAGCTGCCGCTCGAGATTTGCCAGCATGCCCTGCGCAGGAATCTGACCCTAACGGCTCCTGTGGCTGTATCGTGACCCCGAGGTCCCTTTTCTTTGAAGTCCCTTGTCGGTGGACACGCATCTTCAACTAGTTCTCACATAATGCCCTGGGTGCTTGTCAGGGGAGCAGGCATCCAGATCTTGCCTCCAGCTGCTCCCTGGATTCGCGCGATTCTCGGGCACCTGAGCTTTGCTAGAGTGTGAACAATTATATCTTATATCAAAGTGCTTCATGGTGGAAACAAAGCTGGACCCAAACTGACTCTTTGCAACGCGAAAGAAGAAAACGCAAAGGCAGGGAGAACAAGAGAGTGATGAAAACAAAAGGTACGACGAAGCAAGCGAGACCACGGACACACAACCTTCCACCATGCACGCCGACCAACTGTCTTGGTTTTCGGGGAACTGCTGAAGGACGTTGGAATCTGCAACATGTCCAAGGTCCCTGCCAGATCCATGTGGGAAGCGGCCAGATCCTGGCCGTTGGTCGATCCAAAGGGCCAAGTGGCCAAACCATTTCATTATCTTGACCAGTGAACCAGACTGAAAGTAAGCGATCAAGACCCTGCTTTACAGTAGTGCAAACTGCAAAAAAGAATTACAAAGTTCCTGGGCCTGTTTTGCAGAAATATCCTCGGGCTTGGTAGATAAGTGTTGCGTGCTGTAATAAGTGACAATTTGCTGGTCTTAACCGCAGGCCGTATGAGTCAAGCAAGTAGTGCACAGCTAACATCAGCAAGATCATGGTTGTCCGTCGGGTCGAGCTGTGCAGTGAAATCTTGCTACTGTGGTTTGGCTTGAAAGCAACGACACCAACAGAAAGGGTTGGGCGACCAAAATGCCCAGCATGGCACAAGAAGTCTGCCCCACTCCAAGTTTTGAGCCTGTGCAAGACTTAGTATTCCACCATCCATCCGCAGGCAATTCAAAGGACATATGTTTGCCTAGATCTTGCGTGTTCACGAGAAACAGCATGTCGATCGCCAGCTCTTTCCCTGCCCCCGTTCCAATCCCTTCCCAGACGTCGCCTTTGGGAGCACCTGGGTCAGTGCAAGGGCCGGTCAGTCGAGCGCACACTGAAGCTTAGCTCCAAACCCTTCTAGTTTTTGACAGAAAACCAAGCCTCACCTAGCTGTGTTCAGAAACCCTAGTTGGTGTCATCCTTTCTTGTTCTGCTGAAACTTCTGCGGTGTTCTTCAGCAAGAACCTCTCTAGAAAAGGATGGAAATAAATCGCCAAACCGCAAGACAAGCAAAAAAAACATCAACTAGATGAGGACTGGTGGCTGGAGAAGGAAGAGGAGGACCGCATGGAAAGTACAGAATGAGAGAAGCGGAAAGCGGAATGAATTGGAGTTAAGGAGGCAGAAAAAAACTTAAGGGAGCGTACAAGAGATTTGTTCCAAGCTCGACTTACCACTTGGGGCCACCTGAAATTCCTCCCATTTCCCTGTTCTTCAAGTCCTGGAAAGACTGGAAGAACTCATGTCATATGCCGAGAGATCTTCCAACAAAAGTTGCCAGCATGCACCCCAATTTGACACAAAAACTGAGCATACAATTCCAGAACTTTCAGAGATCTTGGACACTGGAGTGCTACAATTTCACTTAACATGGAGTTTGGACTAAGCATGATGACAGGGCTGGCTGGACACGGGTGGACGGGCTTACCCCAGCCGTTGTGGAGAACCACCAATACGTGCACAGTTTTTGAAGAACAGTGAAACAACGAAACCTCGAGACGATCTATTCACAGCTGCCCCTGTTGCAGACCAGCAGCCATCTCTACCTTTATCCTTGCCCTTCACATCAAATCGGCCCTTCTCCCTGCTTTGGTCATAGCCGCGGTCGAAACCTGAGTTAACAGCTTTTGCAGAAGCCCGAGGGCGCTGAAGACCTTGTGGCACAACCCATCTGGGCTTGCAAAATACAGCTCTAGTCACGAAAAAATACTTGATGACCCTCGTGTCAAATCCCTCTAAGTAGAGCACCCCCGGCATCAAGGCAGTCAGAATCCAATTGAAAACACTGCCTCTGTTTGTTCATAGCTAAGAATGCCAATTCTGCATGACAGCTGAAATGTTAGAAGTTGTCTGGAGCGCTGATATACCTGAGAAAGGAGGGGGCGAAAGCTAGCCCTCCAACCAGACCGCAAGCTTGCGGGGACCTAGCTGGATCCAGAAAATAGCACTCCTTTGCTGGTGCCCCCTTTTCTGACCCAAGGCCATGACGAAACTATCAAAGGGGGCACCACCACCGGACCACACATGCCCTTTGAACAGACCGCAAACATAGTCTTTCAACGTAGAGAGCACTCCTTTGCGTGCGCCCTTTCAGCGGTACTAGTTTGACCTTGGGGCTGCAAATTCATCAAGGCATAAGATGAGCGATTGGTCACTCACTTAGGTTCTCCCGGGCTACCACGAGTTACCACAGTCTAAAAAGTCAAAAAGGGTCTAAAACCGCACAAAAGGCACCTCCTAGAAACGGTGAGTGTCCAAGGGAGTTGGAAGTGAGATTCTCTGCTTGTACAAGAGCGTGGGATTCCCGGAAGCCGACTGTGGGCAGTCCACAACCCATCAGCCATATTCTCCAACTCGTACATATATCTACTGTCATCCGACCAGTTACAGTGGCTGAGGACTATCAAGCCCCAGTGTGAAAGTTTGCGTGTCTCGGCCTTCTGCTTGCTCGTGACAAAAAGCATAAGCACAAGCCAGTGCAAATGCTCAGACTCAGCCCTGTTCGCTGGGTCCGTAAGCTTCAACACGTTTCTGCCCACAATCTCTTGCTTGGACCACACACACTCCACAGCGGAGCAGTTGAAGTCTTTACAGCGGTAACACGCCTGCTTGCAGGCTGCTATCTTTACAGCTCACCCGGTCCACTTTACTGAGGAAGAAGCATAAACAGATCTAGACCACTTCGTGAAGCTGTCCTTTAAATTTATGCTTGACCAACCATGAATACTAAGCCGAGGAACCTTTCCCATCGCAGCCTCCGCCCTTTCCCTTCTCGTAGCCCTTCCCATAGCCTTTGCCATCATGGCCCTTCCCATAGCTCCTGTCATAGCCCTTCTCATAGCCACCCTTGCTCTCACCCTTGACACCTGACAAATGGGAACGAACCACTTGTAAATCTGCCGATTGACAGACTGAGGGAGGATTCCTTCAATAGAAACAAGTGAGGATCCTGGCTTGTGATCCGGCGGGTTGATCTGCAGTGAAATCTGGGATTTGATCTGGGGGGTTGATCGAGAGGTTTGGTCCGGAGGTTTGATCGTGGGGTCTTATCTGGAGGTTCTGTGAGGGAGTTCTATCCGGGGGGTTCTATTGGTTACATTATGTCGACGCAAAAAAGAAAAATTCGACCAATCAACCACAACCAGCAAAAGTGCATGATTCGCTTTCACCTGAATTTCAGGGTATCGTGCGCATCTTGCCTGGTCGACTTGCACCTTTGGGGGGAAACCTCAGCACAGCTGCAGAAGGATTGGCCCATTTTGGCCGGTCAGACAGATGAATGGCGTGTCTGAAGAAATGCAACAGTTTGCACGTTCTGGGTCTCCCAGCTGCAGCTCCGCTTCATGCTCGTGATATCTGGGCCGGTGTCGGGGTCAACGTGTCCGGTGTGACGTTCATTGGGAGGTCTCCCAGCCAATGCGCGACTGTCAAAGAGTCTTCCACTTGGCGAGAGAAAATAAAGTAGATATAAGGGTGCTGAAAAGCAGCATCTGCGTGAAGCCCAAAAGCAAAGAGATCCCGAGGCGTGTATTCATTTCTCCTGTGAACCGCTGCACAAAACAGAAAGCTGCAAGCATGCTAAGCCACCTCTTGCTTTACTTTACTAGAGGTCTTGCAACCACTTGGCAGGGACAAAAACGATTGAAATCCCATTGTCCAGCCTTCTCATCATCATGACGTGGGCCCTGTCGAAGAGCAGAAATGAGCCCTGGTTTTCTGTTGACATTGTTAAAGATCTTCGCAACTGTTGACCAAAGGAGCTCTTTTGCCTCAAAGAGGGATGCCCCTCAAGACTAAATGACCGATGGCCCGCTGGGAAACTTCTTGCTGGTCTGGTCTTGTGATCATCAAGACTAAGTTGACGCTGCTTTGGACATCACTCTAGCAATTCACACCAAAAGCTCCAGGAGCATTGAACGGCCAAACCCTGCCTGTAAACTCCCAGCAAAGGGCCCTTGATGTGCATTGTTTGCTCCCTGCAAACGGCAAAGCTGACAAAATCAGCAAAGTCTCCCGCAATTGATGTCCTCGATTCAACTACACGATTTACACACTTCGCTGCTTCGCAGGGTTTTCCAGAAAGATACCTGCAGGAATTGTTGGGGCACTCCTTGGCATCTTCCTCAAGCATAAGAATGACATCAACCCTGTGCCCTGTGAACCCCTGCAATGAGTTTGATCTTTGCATGTGCATGCATGCGCATAGCATTCAGAATTGATGCATGGAAGCCGCTGCCCATCAGAACAATTGTGACCAATCAAATCTGGTGAGTGACCAATCGTCCCTTTATATATTGTGTTGTTGTTGTTGTTGTTGTTGGTCCCTGAATCCCATGGTACTTCCAAAGTTCACCCTCCAACAAAGCGAACATTCTGTGCCTCGCGCCAGAAACTTCACTGAAGTGAATGCTCGTGCTGGTGCTTTGCCGCACGTTCTGGCATTGTTCATCGAAAACGGTCAATGACCCTTTAATGCTAATGCTCAATTCCTGGATTTAGAGTCTTGTCTGAGATATGCGCACATGCTTGCTTTCTAATCTCGATTTTTCTGTGGAACTTTGCTGCAAGACCTCACAAAAACGTGCCAGGACCGCTCGAACGATCTGCCCACCGGGACCGATCATGGCGCTGACTTTTTCAGGAGGCAACTCGCAAGTCACCTCGTACCTGCGAATGGGAAACACTGGCTCTGCAAGATGCGAAACAAGCAGAATTGACTTGAGAAGAAAGCCAAAGTCTGCACTCTGAAGGCCTGAAGTTTCTTCTTTTTCAAGTATTCTTTTGGGATCCTTTGGGCCTATCTATGCCAATGTGTCTTTCAGTCGCGTTTGCAACAGTCAATCCCGAACACAACCCCTCGGCGAAATCAAGCGAATCAGGACGCGATGTCGCTTCTGTTTTCTGCATGTTGGACGACTCTGTTTTCTGCATGTGGTGACTCAAACCTAGAAATTGTTGCGGCATTGTGGGTGTGTCGATCGCAGACGGGCAGACGGTGGTGATGACATTCAGGGCGGGGTGGTTCACAAGGCTTTGGGGAAGACATGGTCCTCTGGCGCCACTGAAATGCCATCACCGGCAGAGTTTCTAAAAAAATCAAGCAGGTCTGTATATGCAGCTGTGAGAGCCCACGGCAGGTGCGTGGCTATTCTGTCATCAGGGGCATCCCACACAAGCAACCCGCTGAGCAAACCAAGACCGGACGAACAGCATGGGACACTTTCTGTGAATGTTCGGATCAAAATGGACCAACCACGGCAACATAGTTCCTCAAGAACAGAAGCAGCTCAAGAAAATATTAAAAGAACTGACCTTCAAAAAGGGCTGTCCGCACATGTGGCGCACTCAAGGTCAACGGCTTTACCTAGCTGATCCAGCGCCATGTGCAGCGCCTAGAGCGCATCAACCGTGGCTCGGATTGCTCAGCGGTTTGGGACCGAACATGGCGTGATTCCCAAAATCTTTGCTAAGCCTTGAAGCCATCTCAAACAGAGTTAGTGGAGGGTACTCCTTGAAAGTCAGTCTTTTGTGCCTGAGGCATGGGGCGCCAAAGACCTTTGTGCAACAAAGGGTTGGCCGTAGTTTCCCATTCGATGGGACCAATGGCCGACCCGGCCTCCATGCCAGGTGCAGACATGCGAAGGCCCCGGTGCGGACCTCACTGCCGAGCCAAGTTCCACCAGTCTTCTCCTAGACTCACAATCCATACTCACTCTGTGTTCTCCCCATCCATATCAGCAAGACAACCCATCCAAATGCTGCAATGCCCCAGTTTAGGCCCTTGCTTCGACTACGCCCTCGTCCTTTGCCGTGGCCATCCTGTCGGGCGCGAGCTTCAATCATCTGGGTCGTTGAACTGTCCGCTGCAAAAGTGTGGCGAGTTCAATCCTTGAATCAAGCAGGAAAAAGCAAGGACGCTGTGCAGGAGTTTATGACGAAAACATGTTCTGTATCGAAATCCAAAGCTTCAAAAAAGGTTTTTTTTAAGTAAAGAACAGTCAGGATGTGTCTCAAGTAGGCGACCTCTACAAACCAAGCAATGCTTCCTCCAACAACTCCCGCCACCAGACGCCACTCACCCTGCAAATAATACCATGTCCTCGATCCCCTCGAAGCTACGCAAGTTCCTCGGTCGGTCAGACCCATCGGATGTTTCTGAAGAAGAGAGGAGGAGACGAGACACTAAAGTCCCATAGTACTTATATAAGGCCGGATGGAATCCTTCCATTGGGGATCCAGAACCTTTCGCCCGCACGAAAGGATGATACAAGTCTTGCGGCATCCTGGCATCCTCAGCCTCCCTCCTTTTCGCAAACGGGAACTGCCCACACTTTGGAGTTTCTCTGTGCGCCGGACGCCCACACTTCGAAGTCCTGAGGCCTCGCCAAAGGGTTTTTGGTCACGTATTGCTCAGCAAATGCACTCATTTGGATTGTCAAAACATGTCAACCTCACCCCGTAATGCCTTGTTGGGAGATACTCGATTGGCTCCACCGGATCTTCTAGACGTGAACAGCGTCCACTTGCATCATTTTGCATCCAACAGGTCGCGGTCTCCATGATCTGTTCAAACGACATCATGCTGAAGACACACCGCAAAGGTCTTCCAAGATGACTTTTGGGACTTGGGGACCAGCCTTGCCTGCCTACTGGAGTGTTATCTGTATCCACTGGGTATCCGTTTTGATCCTTCGCAGCTGACTCTCCAAGGACTTGATTCTCAATTGTGTGCACTTACTGAACGGCTGCCATTACCCTACCCCGCACAACGCCCAAACAAATCAAGCCACGCCCCGCAGAGCACGCGTCCCTCATGTGGATCAGTCTTACGTGTTTGAGCTTTTCTGCTGAACAAAAAGAATCTAATTAATGTTTGAATTGTTGAATGGCCCCTCCTGTCTCTGGTAGAAAAGACCTTTCCAAGACTGAAAGCTTTAGCTTCTGTGTTCAGTTGCCTGGCTTCCAGCTCCTCAGCCATGCGGTCGCTGATGCGGCTGAGCACCATCCTGCCATGAATGAGGTGGGCATCCACAGGAACAGTGGAAAATCATTCAAAATCTCAGGAAACTCTGTGGACTGCACTTACGTACTGTACTTCTCTGGCGCAAGCTTTCCCCAACAGTGAATGTCAAAGATAGGAAGTTCTATTCTTTTCTTTGGTTGCCCGCCTGTCCCTGAACCATGCGGGAAATCCGCAAATGAGCTATCGTTCCGCCCATTCTGTGCAAGACAGGGGATTGCAAACATGCTTGTACCTCAAAAGATCTCGGCGAAATGGTGCGGTAAATCTCTCCCATGCTTGCGTCAAGTTCTTCCGCCGGTTGTTGGACTTGTTGAGCCGATTCTCTTTTTTTTCGATTCAGTTCCGTGGGCCTCGACTTTACAGCTGTTCTGGGATGCATGCTGCGCGTCGCGTTTGCAGCACCACGGGCGATGGATGGGGCACTACACCGAGGTCGTACACGTCAATGGCCCACAGACCAAAGGTTTGGAGGAAAAGCGGGGCTCCAGCATTTCACTATCAACCCAGGTAGCTTCACGGGGAACAATCGCTGTGACTTCAAAACAAAAAGGGCAATTTAAGTGTCGTGTACAGTGTATGGGGCTATAGTGGGCATGAGGGAAAGCTTCTACCTTGGATTCCTTGGCATTGGTATTTGTTCCATTCGCCAAGGGCTGTGACAGGCCATGTTTCTAGAAACCTGTGTGGGCAATGTGCCAGAAGGGAACAGCCATTTGTACTTGCTCTGTGGTTATTGATCAGTCTCATGCTCTCCCTTCATCATTTGACCTAGACCAACCCATTGGAAAAAATGAACTCACCAATGGCTCCCAGACTAGTATTTCATGGCTTAGTTCTGCTGTCGGAGGACCCCTCCTAACTCCGTCATAAGGCGCCGCCACACGGCAAGCTTGGTGTCCAGCCCTGGCAACGCATTTTGTGCAGGCTGGATTGTCGGTTGGAGGTTGTCCAAGTCGCAGTTGGTGGGGGAAGCATGCACAAAGAACCTTGTTTGAAGAGTCAAGGGTTGCCCACTGAAGGAGTAAGAAGAACGTGTCGGCTTCTGCCAAGTTGTGAAGCTTGAACCTCAGATGAAGCAGCTTTTCTACGGACCAGCTTTTGGATGGGAGGCTTCAGCTTTTGTCGTGGTATCTTTTTTCATTTGCCCTTCCTCTTTTCATCACTTTTCCTAGGGACTCTCTTAGCATGCTGCCCTTGAACTGTGGCTCTGTGGCTTTGGAAGGTGATGGTGGTTCAAGCAACAGAGATCTGTCCTTTCAATGATTCAAAGTTTCAACCCTCAAGTCCACAAACAATGGGTTCCTTTTGCACTTTCTGCTGCGGAAGCGGTTGACCGCTCTCTGCTTTCGCGTTGTTGCTGGACCATCATGACAAGTCCAGTGGGTGCCTGTGCTCATTGTCTATGACGACTTTCGCAGAGCACTCCTGCCCAAAGCCCGAGTGACTGATTGCTGTTTCCGATTGTTCTAAAGGAGGGCACCGCGATCTACACATCTACGGGTTTCTAAAGCAGCTGTCTGGGGATAGCTAGTTTCAGCAATGGTTTCTGCCGTCAATCACGTGCTAGTCTTCCGACCTGTCTGGGTTGGGGTGTCCGCACAAAAAATGGCAAGGTTTGGAGGGATATTTTTTTGGCCTGGCTGCTAAACTGCTGCTGGCAAGCCATGTAGGAAAGTCCAGATGACAAGTCAAGAGATTCGTCCACAGCAATTGGGTGCCACCAGCACGTTTCTGATTAACCCACTCTTTTTGCTCACAATAAGCATATACTATAAGTCCTGCTAGAACGTCAAGATTCAAGACGCAGCAATCTGACTGAAAAGGAGACGCATTGCCGAACGGGCCAAACTTAGACAAAGAGCACAATACAGCACGACAAAAGTGTCCCGGTCTTGCACAACAAAAAGATCAGGCACTACACCAACTGGACCTTCGGATCTTCGTCACACCGTCACACATGTGTTCAATGTCTGAACGATGCTAGTAGCGACACGGCCTCATTCAACTGCTGGACGTGTGCCCCTTTGGGCCCGATGATCGCAGAGCCCACACGGACCCTGAGAGGAGTACTATGAAAGAACTGTGGGTTTTGACCACAAGCAAATTGCAAGTAGGTACTGAGTATGAAAACTCTAACTTCAGAAATGGTTGCAAATTGGAAGTTAGAGTTTGCAACATCTCTTGTCCCCATCCCTGAAACTCTGACACTGCTTTCTCCCCTGGGTGGCACGCGGGACCGCCAAGCGCACTACCAGCTCGTCCTGCTCCTCACATCAAGCTCGCCATGTGTGTGTGTGTGTCGGAAAAGGGAGACTCCGAGCCACTGCCGCTCCATGTTTAGTCCATTCTATACGCAATACATTCAATGTCAGTCTATACAATCAATGTATTCAGGCCTGCGAAAGATTCGAATGATTCCAGATTCTAGATCTGTCAGGAGGAAGCCTTAACCTCAAGCCATTTAAGGAATGATGAATCTGCTCTTTCTGTTGACAGAGTCCCTGGTGATGTTGCCAGCGCCCCCGCCACCTTGCCAAGGAAGTCCGGCTCCCCGGAAATCGCTGTACGACCTGGCGAAGTGCCTAAGTAGGCAGACCGCTGAAGGCAGGAAGCAACAAAGGTGATGAGGTTTCCAAGTCCTGCCCCTACTTCCTGTCCAAACACATTGGGGATGTTGGCAGTTTTCAATCCCCAAGAAAGAATAGTACAATGTCATGCTTGGTACAAAGTACCAACGGTAGTCTTAGAAAATGATGCAAATAATGCTGATTTTGTGTTTGCACTTTCTGGAGGATACTGTACCTGCATCTTCAACATTTTCTGCATTCAGTGTTTGCCAGGAACTCCAGCAACCCCTTTTTGTTTTCTGCTCATATGCTTAAATGCTAGGATCCACCACAACACGATGGAAAGGAAAGGAAAGTTGAAAAGGAAGGAGCGGTGCTTTCTTGCGTGTTTGTTCTTTCTCAAAGGGGATGAGATGTTCTTGGCATCCGTTCCCAGAGTGAAGCCTTGAAGCGAGCGTTGTTCTTCAAAGAAGCACGTCGTTGCTTGCCTCATGTGTTGTTGGCTTCGTTCGGGAGTTGGTTGCTTGGTCACTGTGAGTCGTTGGGTAGGTAGTTTGCTTTGTTGCTTCGCGGTGCTTACTTACCCCTCGATTTTGTTTGTTTCTATCGGTTCTTATTGGCTTACAACTCCATGGCAGCTCTTCCTTTGTGTCCCTATCTATCTATCTATCTGTCTCTGTCCCTCTCCCTCTCCCTCTCCCTCTCCATCTCCCTCTCCCTCTCCCTCTCTCTCTCTCTCTCCCTCTTGGTTGGGAAGTCTGTCCATGGCATGTTTGCTGAGCTTGGGGTTGGAAAATTATATACCTCAAACTGAAACTCTTCCGTGGCTTGGAACAGTTGCAGTCATCCCTTCAAGCCTATGAGCCCTTAAGTGCCAAACGTTCAGCATCTGCACATTGGACTAGAAGTTCCAGGATCCTCCACAGCTCAGTGTTGAGTGCTTGCACACAAAAGCTGAATTGACAAAAATTAGTGGGGGTCCTGGTGTAGCCTCTAGGAGGCTAGCATTCTTCGTATCTTCACGTTGTTTCGCTGTCTGTTTTCCTGCTTATATGCTTCACATCCCGCTGTGTCCTTCGGATTGGCAGCTTTTCTGCGTGCTTTTGTATACACAAATGCCCTTCTACTTCAATTGTTTCTTTCCCAACAAGCTTGCCATTGTCCAATATGTCAAACCAAAAAACATAAATTTCCCGTGCTTGCCCTTTCCTTTCCCATATGTAATTACTTTGCTTTTGATCCGTTGATTCATTGCTCAACTTGTAGCCCCAAAACCTTGGTAGGCCCCAACGGCCCAAGTGTGAAGATTTCTGCCTACTTAGGGAGTGTCCTGGACAATTATTGCAAGTTTGCGCAAGGACACCTTACTCTCAGGCTGTTCCAAGGGAAACCAAGAAATGGTTGCATTGCACAGCTGAATTATGTTGACCACGCTAAACTGACTTCCAGAAGTAACAAGTCGCAAAACTTGCAAAGCCATGGAACAAGTGCATTACTACTACCAGTAGTAACATGAAGCTATATATGTATACTGTAAAGGGGCTGCTCCTTCATCGCCCGGGTACAGAGACAAGAAATGAGAGATGGCTGACTCCGTCAGGGCAACCATGATCCGAGACTCAGGTGAAGGCTTTCAACAAGAAACTCTTTCACGTGCCATTTTGTTCTTATGTCGCGGTTCCGATCAGCAATATAGGGTTGATCATCCATCAAACTACCAAACCCACTGTTTCGCCAGTCCTCTCTGTGATCTTGCCTCGCTGCTATATATATAATATACAGTATATATATATATATATATGCATCCGGTCGCATCTTTTCACTCAAGGCCAGTGCTCATCTAAGCGCTAGTGAAAACATGCTGAAAGCTGCAGCGTCCAACCAAGTCTTCACGCCACCACCCCACCGCCGTGGTGGGCGGGTGGGTGACTTGAGCGGTGAGGGTGGCGGCCAACTCCATGTCAAAGAAAACCCTTCTGCAAATCTGTGTCTCACCTATATGCATCCGGTCGCATCTTTTCACTCAAGGCCAGTGCTCATCTAAGCGCTAGTGAAAACATGCTGAAAGCTGCAGCGTCCAACCAAGTCTTCACGCCACCACCCAACATTGCCCAGTGTTGCACGGAGCCCTCTGGTGTAGCCGCTTTCCAACAAACATTGCTGTTCAACAGTGGCGTTGAAACGCCAGTGCAAGTTGTGAAAGGTCGGTGTTGTTGAAGGCAACGGCAACTACTTTCGTCAACTGGTTAGGATATGGCTCGGCCAACTTGGTGTACCAGACACCTTGGTCATTTTGCCCCATGAGAGGAAGGTGCGGTTTTTGGCTGTACTGGCAAATACCTCGACGACTGCTGTGGCATTTGTAATGTGACAACACAGAGAGGTCCAAAAAGGTGCCTAGGAATGAGCGACCAAGCTGTTGTGAAAAACTGGGTTCAACTGTACTGCTAACTACCCCAAGCCCCCAATCAGAAGCATCAACGGCATAGATGGTGTCCCCCCAAACCAGGACCCGTATGAGAGGCGCTATACCATCCCACTGCCAGAGCTCTCGACGAACACTTTTCCACAAGTTTGCACTGTGTGTGTAGTTGCGCTTGATGAAGGTGTAGCAATCCCCCAAGACTGAGAGGGATTCTCGCCGACAAAGTGAGACGAAGGTCATATGCCCTATCAGTCGCTCCAGCTGCTGCCCACTGGCTCGGCCCCGTCGCAGTAGCTCACGGATGCCCAAGCGACATCTCCACAGCCGGCTCAACGACGGCGCCAGGTAACCCCCGTCCTCAATTTCCCAACCAAGGACTTTGCTCGAGCCGTCAGCAACTTCTATCTCATGCACGGTGAGTCCAGCTGACCGTAGGGCCTCGACTGCTTTCCAGAACCTCGTTTCCACTTCCTCTTTGTCGTTTCCAAAAATGTGGAGGTTATCGACATACTGGACGTGGAAGAAGGTCCCCTGAGGTGGTGGCTGACCATCTCTCACTGCAATGCGGGGGTAGATCCATGAGGTGGGCTGTAACTTTGAGCCAGCAACCTCTGCAACCCCGAGTTCTCCAGCTTGCACCTTGCGAAGGCCAAAAAACTTCTGAAGTGCGCAGGGCATGGCCATGGTATAAAACGCATTCTGAAGGTCGGCACTGGCTGTAAACAATTGTCCATGTGATTTCAACTCCATGCGACTCACGCTCTCACCAGTGGCAAGTTTGATGTTCTCAGGTGTGCTGAAATGGCAGTTGCTCCACCTGCAGTCCAAGATCATCCGTAGTTTGCCACCTTTCTTCTTCACAAAGAAAATACCTACCGTCTCAACCGCCGGCTCCAAACCAAGGGTGATGAGGCCAAGGTCCAACAGTCTGCGCAGGAAACTAGCGTACTTTCTTCGGTCTCTGAATTGCGGGTCTTCATAACACTTCTTTAGGCCGCATTGGTCTAGACGCTCACGAGCTTCTGCGATGCCCAGCGTCTGGTGGCCCACAAACACTCCAAAGGCACGGGATTCATGCCTTCAGATGGCAATGAGACCAGGTCAGGATTGAAGGATCCAAGTGGGCACGAAGTCGGCAAGTCATCGTACCCCTCAGCAACCCGAAGCTCCTCAAGGGCCTCTGGGCCGGAAAGCAAAGGTGGAGCCCCTACTCTCCTGCATGCATCTTCAACAAATTCCAAAACATGAGCCTGACCGGAACTGATTGGTCCATTGTTCGAACCACCATACCTCTTGTGAGGTCCTCCAGGCTTCCCATACATAGTGTTGAGGGCATCCACTGTGTGATCCACCTCCTGCTCAAAATGCCTCCTCCGGCCAATCCTCTGCTGAGACTTTCGCGAGAAAAGACCCAAGGGCGGTCTTGAATTCAAAACTCTTGGCAGTGGAAAGATGTCTCTGTCCACCTCTCGAACTTGCACGGCCTCTGAAGGTATGGCAGCAGCTGCAAGGCCTGACCTCTGCTGCACCTGGTATCTCAAGGGTGCTCTGACTTGTCACCCCCCTTCTTGGCCCCTTTGCGAGCTGCTTCTCTCTCCTCGCGGGCCTTCCGCAAGTTCTTGGCCAGGTTAGCCTCCTTCTCGGTCTCGATCTTAACATGATCCAACAACTGGGGGCAAATCATCAATGTACTGTACTGTCGAGCGATGCCTCCAAAAGTGGTCTGCTCTTCTAAACTCAACCGTCCACCCACAGCCTTCGCCTCCAAATCCTTTGCCTTCTCGCTGTAAGAGTACTCGATCGCCTGAATTGTATTTCAATGCTCAACAGGTTGTAGGGGTCAAGCTGGTCGACAAGGAGGGCCTGGCGTAGGGCCACGCTGACTTGGAAATGTTCCTGAATCCCCCAACTGCTTGCATCAGCCTTTGTGACCTGTCGGAATCTCTCATGGTGCCCCTCGAAGCCAAGGTTCTCGATGGCCAGATAGTTCACACACCATTTGCTGGTGCGTGGACCGGCCAACTCCCACCTCACTTTGCTCTCAATGCCCATGGATGCGACCTCCTTCAATGTCCTCTCTGGATGTCCAATGGGGTTCAACTCAACTGGCAGCACCCTTGGATCGCACCTTGCTGGCTTCTGCAAGAAATTGAAATAGTCCTGACCATCAACACACTGAAGAAAAACGCTGTTGCCATCGGCTCCAATGTGGACAATCTTGCTATCTTTCACCAGGGGATTGAGCACCCCCTGAACTTCTTGGCCATACTGGTGGCTGGAGTTTGTTTCAGCCGCCAGCCACTTCAAAGTCCCACTCTCATAGCCCTCCACCGGGTCGATCTTGGTGGATGCCGCGGCCCCCCCAACAGCCGGCGCCGCCGCTGCGGCGGCAGCCGCCAAAGGGCCAGCACCACCAACCAAAGCACGCCGTTCCTCCTCAGCCACTCTGCGTCCTTCCTCGCGGAGGTTGTGCAGATCATTCGCTGTCCAGGCAGGTAGTGCGTAGACCTCGGCGGCGATCACATCAGGTGGCAAAATACCTGCGGCAGGCTTCACTCTCAGGGTTCGTACATCTGGGTTCAAAAGTCCCAACTCCTCAGCATAGACGTCACGGTCTGGTGTAGCTATGATGTACACTTCACCCGCCACGTGGCTGAGAACTAAACGCTCGTGCCAAAGACGGGGCCCGGGTACATCGTACTCCAACAAAATGTGCCTATTGACCAAAGCCATGCCGACGAAGCCGAAGTTCCGCCAGTTGTCTCTGGGCCAAGTCACGCTTCTGTAAGGGCGAGCTGCTACCTTCTGTCAATGCTTTTGGACACTGTCGACCAAAGATCAACCAACCCAATGTAATGAGCCCTGCGAGCACAATCAACAGCAATGTAAACAACTGTCCCAAACTCAATTGGCCCCGCTGATCAACTCCCACCAGAACCTTGGCTTCAGCCTCCGGCTTGCGCCGCGAAGACCAAGGTTGTCCACCTGAAATGGGAGGATCTTCTTCGGGGTCCTGGGAGCGCTCAGGTGTGAAGTCCAATGCCCTGACCTGCAGCCGCAACAAACTGATGTCTTCGTGCAACCTTTGTGTGTAGTAAGGTCCACGCCAATCAAACCCACCAAGGCCACCTGGCAGAACAAAGCTGCCCGGTAGCCTAGTGGGTATCCCATGAACGCCACACGTGCGCGCCCCGGTTTTGACTTGAGCGGTGAGGGTGGCGGCCAACTCCATGTCAAAGAAAACCCTTCTGCAAATCTGTGTCTCACCTATATATATATATAATTCAGCTTTCTCTCCAAGAATCAAAGCTGAAACCCATCGCGGCCACTCCTGTCGAGAGCCTTCAGCACCCTCAGCACAGCTGACAATACACGGCGGCAGAAACTGGTAGATCACGTATGCTGCGTTGCTTGCGTGCTGCGATTTGAGATGTTCTGTTCAGTTTGTCCCCGGACCTGTCTGTCTACAGCATGTCTGCAAAAAGTAGCATAGGTCTGTAGGCATCACGCTCTCATATTGGTTGCACGATCGACCTCTGAACCATGAAACGGACACGGCCCATCCCTTTCGTTCATCCTTCAACTACACAAAAGAACAACAAACCTGAACAAACCAAAAAACCACGCATCCGCATGTGCATCTTGCGGAAATGCCGGACCTACGGCCTCTTTTGCTCGACTTCTATGGCCTCTGCGGGTCCGAGTGACTCACGACATACACGAAGCCAAGAGAGCCCCAGACTCGGCCCGATAGCTAGGCCCGGTACCCTTCCTGCTCATCGGCGTGAATCACCACCAGCCGCAAGCGGGTGTGAGGATAGAAATCATCCTGACAACCCAGACACATCTTCCGAAATCAGCTACTTGACTGCGGTTGTACAACCGAAATCAATGCCTTTCGTGATACTGCAAGATTCTGTCGCTAGGAATCCGTGTTTATCTTTCGCAGCTCAACGGAAACACCGCCAGCCCCAAATGCCGCGCCAGGATGCCATAAACCCCATAGACGCTGGCCACGCGTCCGACGCTGGGGGTCCCAAGCCCGGTTGCTCATCACCAAACGGCAATGGCACTCATCCTTGGCGGTTGCAGCTGAACGCAGGGAACGTTTACCTTTGAGGGAGGCGCTGGATTTCTTTCCGGATTTGAGTGAGGGGTGTGTCCTCCACGACATCTCATCCTTGCGAAATGGTGCTGAAGAATGCCATGCCCACATCACTGTCCCCTGCCTGAATTCGATCCTTGGTGCTGCCCTTGGACCCCAAAATGCTGCTGGCCAGCGGCTCGGGGCACAGGACCTAGCAGCGAAAGGTGTTATATAACTGCAGGGGTAATGACGTGGCGATCCAACAGTCGTCTGGTTTTGAATCAATGAAAAGGCACCAAAATTTTATGGCAGTCTGGGCCCTGGGCGTTGCTCTGCAAATGTTTGGTCAAGTGGTTGCAAAACCAGGTTCGAGAACACTTGGAATGTTCCCACTCTTCCACGTGTTTTCCCAAAAAACGAAGAAACATATAAATGTTACAATGTTAATGTCCGTGCATTTTGCAATATCAACAGTAAATTGTCAAACCACAAACACGCAGGCCTGACATGGGGATATTCATGATGAAGCACCAATGCGAAGCAAGCATACAAAACATACAACATCACTGAATCCTGTTTGAAGCACATTGCTACTATGGGTTGTGAAACCCTTCGTCTTTTGCAACGCACCACCAACCAAGATCACTGAGTTCTTGCAAAAACATGCCTTGAAAGCGTGTCGTGGGGCCATGGCTCAGAACTAACCGGTTCACAAAAAGATACAAACTTGGTGGCACAGTGCCTTTGATGATCTCATCATCCGCACATGCCTGAGGTACCGGAAATATTCGTGGTGGTTTCAGTGCAAGTTCCGAAAAAAATGCATGTTTTGAATTCTGGAGTATTGTGAAGCACGCCTGGTGAAACGAAAATATGGGGGCACCTTTTATAGTTCGCAACCTACTGCTGGCATTGCTGGCAGAAAAAAATCTGTATTGTCGCTTTTCACCACGAGTTTGCATTGTTGCCAACACCTAGACATAAGAGCTTCGGCCGAAACTTCGGGGAGCCAACAATCCATTGTTCGAAGCACGACTCTGGTTTCTTTGGCCTCGCTATTGAGTTGGAGGCCGTCGCTATTAAGGTGGAGGCCATCGCTATTAGGTTGGAAGTGGAAACCATCGCTATTCGGTTGGAGGCCGACTGCGGGTGCAAGGTGGCGGCAGAGAAAGCATAATTTTTATGGAACTGGAACAATGCAAGAACCCACTTTGCCATTCCCCTCTTTGCCAATCTCACCTCTCAATATTGAGCGCCCATCAGCCGATTTGCCTTCTTTTACAAAAAGAACGGCCCAGCCAGCTGCACCTTTTTTGTCAAAGTTTAGGCCAGTAGCAAGCCACACGTTTCCGTGAGAAAAATCACATGCTGGATTGTGCTACAATTCCTGTCCTTGGCCTTGCCAGGAAATGATTCAGATTCCGCACACAGTAAACAAGGTTGTGTTGACATGGAAGATGCAGATGTTTTCATCAATGAAGAGGCACAACAAGATGTGGATCTCAAGTCTGCCTTCACTCCTGCAGTCCCTCGCCAACCCTTCTTCCGAGCAATCCTGGGGTGATGTGACGGTAGGCACTGCAATCTTAGGAGGACAACCAAAGGATCTGTGAAATAGAAGCCGTGGACCCACAAACTTTTGGTGTTGGGGAGTTCGTGTCAGGATCTCACCAGGGTCTACAGCTGGCATTCCATCAAAACGCGCCCTTTGGGTTCGTTGCTGCCAGTTTTTTTCCCGAAAGCATTGCGAAGGGTTCTTCCGGAAAATCCCTTGAACACTGACACTTCGACACTTACACTTACACACTGACACTTCCACACTTGCACTTGAACACTGACATTTCTACACGTACACTTGAACACTTACGCTTCCACACTGACACTTGAACACATACAGGTCTATACGTATCCCAGTGTAAAGGTAAAAAGCATCCAAGGGCAAGTATGCAAGTGTAAGTATCCAAGTGCAAAAGTATGCAAGTATCCCAGTGCAGTCCCAGTGCAAGTATGCAAGTATGAGTGTGGAAAACTTGCACGGGAGATGTCCTAATGAAAAACATTTCCCCACTTCATAAATTCTCTCTTAAAGGCGGAGGGTGGGACGAACAGCGTCAACCTCTGCGGAGATCGTGCGTGTCGAGTGCGCGAAATGCAGGCGAGAGTGCGATTGGTGCGGTCCGCGCGCAACCCTCTGCGGAGATCGTGCGTGTCAAGTGAGAGTGCGATTGGTGCGATCCGCGCGCAACCCTCTGCGGAGATCGTGCTTGTCGAGTGCACGAAATGCAGGCGAGAGTGCGACTTGTCCGGTGCCCGTGCAACCCTCTGCGGAGATCGCGCGTGTCGAGTGCGCGAAATGCAGACGAGAGTGCGATCTGTCCGGTGCGCGGGCAACCCTCTGCGGAGATCGTGCCTGTCGAGTGCGCGAAGTGCCGGTGAGAGTGCGATTTGGGGAGCTGGAAGATAAGAACTGGCGATTTGGTAGTACAACTTTAGTACGCGGAGCAATCTGTGGAGCTGGAAACTGAGAACTGGCGACTCGCTAGTACAACTTTAGTACGCGGAGCAATCTGTGAAGCTGGAAGCTGAGAACTGGCGACTTTGTAGTACAACTCTACTACGCGGAGCAATCTGTGGAGCGGGGAGCTGAGAACTGGCGACTTTGTAGTACAACTTTAGTACGGGGAGTATCTGGGGAGCTGGAAGATGAGAACTGGCGACTTGGTAGTACAACTTTAGTACGCGGAGTATCTGGGGAGCTGGAAGATGAGAACTGGCGACTTGGTAGTTACAACTTTAGTACGCGGAGCAATCTGTGGAGGTGGAAGCTGAGAACTGGCGACTTTGTAGTAGAACTTTAATACGCGGAGTATCTGGGGAGCTGGACGATGAGAACTGGCGACTTTGTAGTACAACTTGAGTACGGGGAGTATCTAAGGAGCTGGAAGATGAGAACTGGCGACTTGGTAGTACAACTTTAGTACGCGGAGTATCTGGCGAGCTGGAAGATGAGAACTGGCGACTTGGTAGTACAACTTTAGTACGCGGAGCAATCTGTGGAGCTGGAAGCTGAGAACTGGCGACTTTGTAGTAGAACTTTAGTACGCAGAGTATCTGGGGAGGCTGGACGATGAGAACTGGCGACTTTGTAGTACAACTTTAGTACGGGGGGTATCTGGCGAGCTGGAAGAGGAGAACTGGCGACTTGGTAGTACAACTTTAGTACTGCCCCCAGTTCCCTGCCCCCCATTCCCTCTCCCCAGTTCCCTGCCCGCCAGTCCCCAGTTCCCTGTCCCAAGTTCCCTGTCTCCAGTTTGCTGCTCCCAGTTCCCTGCCCAAGTTCCCTGTCCCAGTTCCCTGCCCCCACTTCCCTAGTTCCCTGTCCCAAGTTCCCTGTCTCCAGTTTGCTGCCCCCAGTTCCCTGCCCAAGT